ACTGACGTAGTGATCTATCAACGCACAGCCCAAATCACTGGCCAGATCGGGCTGAAATTTGGCATGCAGTTTGATGTTATGACGTAGGCATCTGCTAAGAAAGGATTTTAATTAATTCTACCCCCAAAGGGATAAAATAGGGAATGAACGTTTATATGAAACTTTGTCAATTTTAAATCGATCGGGCTGATACTTTGCATGCATAAAGCTACTATGATGTAGGCATCCCCTAAGAAAAGATTTTGATAAATTCCACCCCTAAGGGGATAAATTAACGCGAGCGAAGCCGCGGGCAAAAGCTAGTGCTGAAAAAATGCTTTATTATTATTATTATATGATTAAATGATATACATAAGTGGCATATACATGGTACTTATTTATATCAATGTCATTTTTAAACAGTGCAGTTCAACTAGCTACCACAGGGAAGAACAGCCAATAAAATCAACTGGTATATTTTTTTTTACATTCTTTATAATCAGCCTCAATCTAATCAATGTATCTTATATTAGACCTTTACAGCCGACTCATCGTCAATATACATGACTCATTTTATATTGAAAATTGATTCCAAGCCCAGTCGTGTGTGTAGACTGCAGATAGCAGTGAATCATGCGCAGTTGAGTCAAACACGGTCAAGTACAAGTCGACTCTTGAAGGGCTTTTTTCCCCTCTCTATCTCTCATTATATGACAAATAGAGATACCAACCTTAATTTTAAAAAAGTAAAAAAAATGTATAAGCTTGTGTAAATATAATACATATTTTTGGTATATCGCTCCCAGCCATGAAGACAGGTCTGACTTAGTTTGGGGACTATGATACTATGATGAAACAAATTAAATTCTAATGCAATAGGTAGGTATATACAATGATGTAAAACTATAACTTACTACTACTATAACTTTCTAACTGTAAAAATTAAAAGTAACTATTAGTAAATTTCACACGGGGGAAATTTGTACCCTGTGTTATTCTGATGTACTTATAAGCTATATTATTGTAAAGTTTCATTAAAATTCATTTAGTAGTTTTTGGGTGAAAGAGTCCACACTAACAAACTTCCGCGTCTATAAAATTAATAAGATGAAAACTATATTTAATATATAAAATATAAAACTATATTTAGTATAAATAAATAAAGTTTATTACATACTAGTTGACCAGGACTTCGTAGTCCTTATAATTTTTTTGCTTGTAGTTACATCGATAGAATTATAAAAGCAAAATCAATTTGGGTCGGAATAAAAATAGTTATATATCAGTTACTTATCATTTTAGAAAATGTACTGAAGTTTAGTCTAATATGCAATATAATTTTGGACGCGTTATTAAACCTATTTGCACTTTTTGTATGCATCGCAGACAATGGAATGTGATCCTAGATTGAGCCTACAGATGTGACTGCATCCTATGATCCTCGACTGGTGCCCTAGCAGCATTTGTTTTATAGTACAATAGTGGCAAACAGGAATATAGCCTATCTGATGGTAAATGGTTACGGTAGCCTATGAACGCCTGAAACACCAGGGGTGTCACGTGTGCGTTGCCGACCCTTAAGAAACCTTAATATACCCTTCTTGAAAAACCCCATGCTGCAGTCTCGTGAGAAAACCTCGGCAGGAAGTTCATTCCACAACCATATGTACTGTTAGTGCAAGCGAGTGCATTTTATATTCATTCATTGAAAAAAATTGGGCATTTAAACGCTAAACGCTGACTAACACTTCATTAAGAGTGCGACTTTATTACGTCATATAAACAGGCTTCAATTGAAATCGAGATTGTAATATGCTTACCAAGAATCCAGCTAAATACATAAAGTTATAGCGTGTTTACAAAAAAACGTATCCATTTAAATATGGCTTTTACATCATAGACATCAAAGTTTAAAACAGTTTGATTATTGAACGATTAATTGCAAATTGTATTCGCTGCGGTAAATTACAGTCTATCCTTATATTGAGAGTACCTACTTTCAGTTCAGTGTGCAGTTAAATATACATCTTAGCATTCAAGCGATGTAGGACGGTCGTACATAAACATAAGGATTTCATTATGGTGTTTTTAATTGATGCACCCACCGTATACTAACGGTATACGCTCGCGGGCACCAGAAGAGAATATTGAATGAAGAGCATACAACTATGGTAGCAATGAAGCATACGACCCATCAGAAGGTTACCGTCGTCTATGGACGCCTGAAATATCAGGGATGTCACATGCAGGTTGCCGACCCTTAAGAAACTTTAATATACCCTTCTTGAAAACCCCATGCTCTATTCTCTAGAGAAAATTTCGGCAGGTAGTTCATTCCACAGAGTAAGTGTACGCGCATGAAGCTTTCCTGAAAACGTACTGTCCGAGACCACTTACCAGCCAGTTCCAGAATGTGGGGATGAATTCCCTGTCGATGGCGGACGGTGCCATGGGAAAAGGTACCTGTACCCGTAGGCATCATGACGAATAATTCTTCAGAACACAGACCGTTGTACATTCGGTGGAGGATAGTAAGATAGAGAGAGCATAAGGTTAAGTCAGTTAGGCCATCTTAATAAATTCACCAAGAATTTAACACGGTGGTTTCCAGGCGGAACGAGTGAAGGTCAACCTGACTTAGTACATTGTAAGTCCACATTACTAACTATCCCCTTCCTGAAATCCCTTTCCTTTGATATAGCATCCTATTCTTCGCAGTCGGTTGATATCACAATATCACGATAACAGAATGCAAAACAAACACGACTTTACGTGCTAATTGTTCCAAGGTTATTTTAACTGCAAAGTTTTCAGTTTACATAAACAAGATAAAGAACTGTGCATAATTGGTATATTAAAGAGAAAGATAACAAATGCGTTATAATACTTTAGTACATAGCTCCTAAAAATATCCTTCTATTGTTTTTCCTGGCGAGTCTAGGCAGCGTACTCTAAAATATGGCAAGGATAATAGATCTATGTAGGTCGCAATATTACCATGTTTAAAGCACCTGACAATAACCCAAACATATCAATAAAAAAGGTGTATACCTTACCACTTTGCTAGTTTTTTACCGATTGTTGAAAAAGGAAACTCTGATAGTTGATGGAGACTGTGAGGACAAATCTTTTAGAGGGTAGCCCCACAAGGTCTGACCAAATTTTCTCATCCCTAGACACCACGTTTCATGATGACCTCCATTATACAAAAGACCGACACAGATGAAGGGGTGTGATCAGAAAGAAAGTAATTCCGAGGAGCTGCCACGATCTTTAGGAATGAGGAAAATTATTTGAGGAACACGAAGAATTCGAAAGCAGAGGTAGACTTTATCATCCACTGCTGTTTAAATCATGTTACGCAGTGCTGAGCCTGTTACGACTCTTAAAATGAGGAAAACTACTTGAGGAAGAGGCTGAATTCAATACCAAAACCAGACTTTATGATTATCCGCTGTTTAAGCCATTTCAGCCTCTTGAAAAGCAGCTCTTTGCTTGCTGTGTTTTGCTCGGAGGGTAAGATGTCATAAGGAATTTATAGGTTACGAAGGAATGACATTTCCTCTCGAATGGCAACGCATGAGGGATACTGAGGGAGTCACATTATGATATGATGTCCATAACGCTTTTTTGCCATTCCCGGTAAGGACCGATATATAAAAAGATATTTTCTCTAAAACTAATGATATATAGATAAACGCTTTATCAATTACAAACTCGTAACATAAATAAGGTACAGAAATACGGATATTACAAATAAAAAAATGGAGGTAGCTTTATGTGTCGTAAAGATGAAGAGGCAACCCACGCAGCATAAAGCTGCAGATAAATCTGCAGCGCTGATGTTCCGTCGGCTCCTATATTGCAAGATGTTTTCTTTCTACTCGGGGACATTAATTTCTCCATTCCGAGATAAAAGGTAACTTAAGTAGGTATGTGAGTGGAAGTCTACGCGAATTACGACTGAAGTATTTCAAGAAACCCTAGATGGGATAGTTGTAGGTATTATCAACTATCGTATCGACGTGATGAGCGTAATACTTAACATGCTACAATTAAATGTGACAAGTGACGAGTTGGCTTGTTATCGGTGTTTACATTATTGGAAGTTAGGGTAACAGGAAGGTCTTTGTGTTGATCAAAATCGGAAACATCTAAAGAATCTAGAGGAAAAGGAAAAAAAATAAGACAGAGAAAAATACAAAAGGTAGAAATTTAAGACAGAATAATAAATTTCTATATCAATACGCTATGACTACTATCTATACTACTTACTAAGTAGTGAATACAGGTACCTTGTACAGCCTCTTTAAAAATACATAGGAAATTTACTAAAAACAATATACTCGTAATCCTCAAAAAACATAAATACCTACATCTGGGTTACTTAAAAAAGATCTTAACAAATGTTTAAGATTTTAATGTAATGTCTCGCATTAAGGGTTTTTTAGGATTTGTTATCAATGTCGGAGATTTAAGAACGTAACCTACCTTATGTGCACCCTTGTATTTGAAATCGTAACCTTTCATATTAAATTGATCAAATAAAATAAATTTACAGCAAATATTTTCTATTTTTATTTAGCATTTTTTCCTACAGTGGGAAAGGCAAGAGTCTCAGTTTATACAGCCATTGTCTTCTATATATTCGGTACATTAACATATTTTTGACATATGCTATAAAAACAGTTTTTGGCATAACTTTACATAATCAATTTTATAACAACATTGTATAAGTGTAAGTAAACGTAGCCTCCCCTAAGATACATAATTGGAAATGTTGAGTCTGGCGAATTAAATTTGTATACGTGGTGCCTTAAAAAATCGAAAACTAGGTTTATAAAACAGAGGCGTGAGGAAGGAAACCTGTTTGCAAAAATCTCACGATCCTATACCTACGCCGCCCGCTGCCGGCGCGCTGCAACTTTTTTATAAAAATAAATTAATGCAATTGACATAATTTCATACGGCCTAAATCAATTTTCGCTAACATTTTGAATAAAAAGAAAAACTTAACTCACCTGTAATTTAATTCAGCACACTGACAATCCTTAATTTAATTCAGAGAAACAGGGTTTAAAATATGAATTTACTGGCGCGATGCACTCGTGACCCAGCGGACATTAACACTAGTAACAGTATTACCAATACATAAATTTAAAATAAGTTTAATGTTAACACCATTGAAAACATATGTTGCTTTTTGCCAAAAATAAATAATGGTTAGAACATTAAATGAATATAATAATTCACGGTAGTTTATACAAAAAAAATGTTATATTACAACTAATATAAAATACTTTTCGTTAAAATAGAACTAAAAATTCAACGGCCATACTAAATTACATTGAGGTTGTTTTCTTTACTTGAAACATTTTCATGTAATGTCACTTATGGATTTCCACCAGGGTTTCCTGTTTAGGAGTTTTCCCTAAATTTGGGAAGAAGTAATAAGATTTTAGAAATTGAATTTTTATTTTATAATTTCTGAAGTAAGAGAATTACCATTACTTAGGAATTCATTATTATTATACAATATTTGAATGTTTTCTTTAGGCCATACACACATATCATCGCGCCTCTCTCCCATTGGGTTAGATAGGCTAGGGATTGCGTAAGATTTCCCGGACGTATACAAAATCTATACAGTGCGTAGCGTCCAAAGGTAACTATAAAAAAAGAGTACTACCAATTTTAGATTTTTGTAGGTAGTTTTTTAAAGTAATGCACTTCTAAAAGTCTAATTATTTTTAAGTAGTAAATATAATACATAATAATTTAATTGTACTAGAGTAATTTCCTTTTCGAGATATAACTCATTTCAACGCCACGCCGCCGATTTCAATTTTTTTTTGGTAAATATGTTTTGTTGAGTTGGAAACCATCACTGTCAGTTTTATGCCAGTCTCTAGTCAGTTTGATGAAATGTACAATTTTGACAATTTTCATTCATGCAGTAAATAATACCATCTAGTGGCGCGCAAACAAACTAGACATTTGAATAGTTTGTCTACTTCCCGTTAGATAGCGCTGTGAATATATATGTAATTATGGGGAGTATCATAGAATATGACGTTTTTTTTAATAGATGATAATGCACTCGTCTTCGTTAACGGATTACCCTGGCGGGGTACTAGTTGAGGACTATAAGATAATATCAAGTCAGGTCAGTTAGCCCATCGTGACAAATTCACCAAGAATTTATCATCAGAGCCGAAGGTATCGTCGTGGAGATGAACCTGATATGGTACATTGCTAGCAATGGACTTTTGTCCACATTCCCCCAAAATGATTATCACATTGGTGTAAATTATAAAATTCCAATTTCAAATAGTCAAAACGTGGCAGAAAATAATTTAGAAGTGGTAATAATAATATTTTCTTAGCATTTAATTAATTATGAATATACAGGTACCATCTATCTAGTATGCACAGAAATAACAGAACTCTTATAATAACAGATTTATTTTCAATATATTATTTAACAAGCCCTCACTAATATTTTACTGTCCCATTCACTTATTAACGAGTATGCGTGTTCATATGCTGTTTCAAATGTCCGGTCATTCTGAAACGCTGTTGACATACTTGACAACTGTACGGTTTTTCACCAGTGTGAATGCGCTTATGCGCCCTCAACTGTGACGTGTCACGAAAACACTTCCCGCACACTTCACAATTGTGCGGTTTTTCACCCGTGTGTATGAGCAGATGATTTTTATATCTACTCACATCTCTGAAACTTTTGTTACAGATATCACAGCCAAATGGTTGTACACTGTTATGTGTCCTTGTGTGTACTTTCAGTCGAGTTTTATCTATGAAACGCTTTTTGCACACCTCACAACTATATGGTGTTTCACCTGTGTGAATACGAGAATGTATCCTCAACTTTGCAGCTTCTACGAAGGCCTGACCGCAAGTTTCACAACTGAATGGCTTTCTCTCCGAATGCGTCCACATATGCAGCTTTAGTTGCGACTTCTCTCTAAAACATTTCTGGCATATATTGCATTGGTACGGCTTATCTGTTGAGTGGAGACGTTTATGCCGAATCATTGTTGAGCTCACCCTAAAACTCATATTACAAACATCACATGTATAGGGTTTTTCACCAGTATGTATTCTCATGTGTTGACGCAATGACCTGAAACGAGAGAAGCTTCGTTTGCATGCATTGCATGTGTGTGTAACCTCATCTGTATGACTCAGTACGTGGAGTTGTATTTGATTTAAGGAATAAAATTTCTTGCCACATATATCGCATGAATATTCCTCATTGTTTTGAGAGTTGGAGATGACTCGAGGAACTTCTTCATCTGAAATAACATCATAATAATGCAAAATCATTCATAAAAATTTCATGCTAAATATATAATTATTTAAAAATGCAATAATAAATAACATTGCTTCAAAAATAATATAACATTTTCTATGACTAATGATGATAAGATGATATAGTATTACTTAATTATTTGCTTCACAGACACACATAAATATTGTATCTATCTAATACAATATGTTTAATAGTTCTAACGTTACCTGATAGTATCACCGCAGGTTCTAAAACCAACTCATTATTAATTTCATCATTGTCATATTGCTTTGTCATATCCATTTCCTTATCACAAAATATGTAAACATCATCCCCTGATTCCTTGGTCACATCAACAAATTCAGTTTTCAATATCCTAGTCCTATCTACATTACTATGTTTAATATTTTTTTTAATTTGTACACTATTTTCTTCTTCTTTAGAATTCAATTTGTTTAACAAATTCATATCTTTTTTAACATCACCAGGGACATCTGTTTTATGCCCACATACATTATCTGACTGCAAAGTTGTCTGATTGAAATGTTTGGTCCTTGCCAGATGATCAACAGACTTTACCTGTGCAACTTTAGAATTCACCTTTTCTGTTTGACTATCTTTATTTAATGTAAAGGTGAGCTGTGCCATTTTAAAATTCTTGTCTGTAGATAAATTCTCAGTGTAAATCTACATGTTCAGTTTTCATATTAGTTATAATAAATGTACCAAATATCAGAGAGGGATGTTGAGACTGGATCTGTAACCACACTGTAAAAGATCGATACGATTGTAATGCAATACATAGAACTGATCATATGCCTTTAAAACCTTTATACTTGGTAAATATCTAATAAGAAATAACAGCAATATTTTTAATTCCGTAGTGGAATAACAGAAAAACCATACTTTTGAATTTATAAAGTTAAAGGAGGCTGCGACAGGACTGTCATTTATTAAGTATTGTTGCCTTTCGCAAACAGTAACAGAATAATTATATAATTGTTTATTTTAATATATATAAAAGTAGTCAATAATGTTTATTATTATGTGTGTAAAACTGTAGAGTACAATAACAGAGCATATGGCACAGACAACAGAATTTGACATCTTTCAGTTTTTGACATCTTCGAGTAAATGCACAGTCTAAGCAAGTAACCACCACGTTTAGTTGTACAGTGATTTGGCAAGTTGAAGTAGACGAAAATGGCAACTCTCATTATTGTTTTTTCAGTTTGAAATTGAAAATATTCGTTTTCGTTTCCAACCGTCAGTCGGTAATCTTGTTTGTTTTGCTTCTTGTTGAATTTATTTTCAAATGCTTCAAATATTTAAAATATTCTATTATTAGTACTAATATTAATAACTAATCGATTTATTTAGTACGTGTTACCTAAATAACTGAATATAACTTTGTTTTCGTCTTTGTTGGATCACAGTAAGTTTGTTATTATGTATATTCTATCCTGTCCTAATATTGGCGTCCCACGACTGAATGTTGTATGTATAAGAAAAATTCTGTTTGCATTGTCTATTATACTTCAGGGGAAAAGCGTGTTTAATGACAATATTAGTGTATAGTCCACTTTTGGTGCCTTTGCTACCAGAGTACCAGGTTGTCCTCCACACGATCCCTTTGGAAACCGTTGTGTCGTATTTATTTAAGTCACACAGCAGTTAGTTTAGGCCATTGGAAAGAATTTACGAGGTGAATACGCCACGCTGAGCTATTTGACTTAATCATCTTTCATTAGTTCCCGCCAGCGTTCTTCTTGTGATGAATCTGCATTCCGTTAGTACTATTCAAAAGGAATGAGTTCATTTGAATAAAGATTATTTCTATTTCTATTTCGTATACCGTTAGTACAGGAAGTAGCACCATTCTACCATTATTCATAAAAAATGCCAGATTGACTGCTTGACTTCAATGTCAAAGTAGTTGTAATATAAAACAGTATGCCTTATACATTTTAATTTTTGTATCACTATCCTTACCAGTCAATCAATTGGTAATTGGAATGAATTCCCCTTAAGTAACTAATTACATTTTTTTTTCATATCAGTTCAGCAACTATTTCAGAAGATGTCAGCGATTGTAGATCACTTGAATAAGTTGCGTGAGGAGAGATTGGCCCGTGAAAAGGCGAGGATAGAAAAGGTAATAATATATAAACTTTTTTGTCCATCCTTCATTCCAAAAGATAATTTATTAAATATATTTTTAATGTATATATTTCATAAAATTATTTGTGTTCTACTATTTAATGTAATATTTCACTTTTAAACCAATTTCATAACAGAAGAAAGTATGTTAATTATTTTTTTTATATATGTGTTATACTAATATATATAATTTCTTTTACAGTTACGAGAACTGAATTTGAAGAAATACAACAAAAATGATCCTACACTAAAGAACTCAATATCTAATAAATCTATCGCAAACAAATCTAAATCTGACCAAGCAATCAATAACACCAAAGCAAATAATTTAAATAAAAATAATGTACATATGAATGGTATTAAAAGACCAAATACTACTTCTATTGCTAATAAAACAACCATCACAGAAAATAATCACAAACCTAAATTACAACCCATTATGGCACATATGAAAACAGGCAATTATATTAAAAATAATATAAAGCCAACTAATCCCACAAAGAATCATGAATTCAAACCTAATGTTGTTGAGAAAAACCTTATAAAATTGCATACTACAAGTAATAATAATCCAAAAACACACAACAATAAACCAAATATTGATAAAATTGAATCAAATAAAGTAAAGACAAATTATTCTATATTGAACAGAAAAAGTGTTGCACCCAAAAATGCTATTAAACCAGCACTACCTAAAACAAGTATGCAACCATTGAAATCGCATCAAAGTGCCACAGAAATTCAGACAAACAGGGAATCAGTATTTGACCGTTTATACAAACCCAAAGTGGTAGCAAAGAAACCAGTTGATGAAGTTAAGAGACTCCAAACTGATGTAAATTACCAGAAAAAACTATTAAGGGACTCTGGATTGATTGTCAATAAAAGACATACAGTTTTTGATGTTAAAACCAAAGTACAACCACCAGTGAGGCGATCAATATCTGCTGTGCATTTTAAAAGAATAAGAAAGAGTGAAATTAACAATTGCATTCATAAATGGTCTTCAATTGGTGAAAAACTTAACAGTATACATGTAAAGGAAGTCAATGAAGATGATACTGTTAAGGAAGACAAAGTCGTATCTGCTATTAAGAGCGAAAGGAAGAAAGTGAAATTCCAAACTCCTGTACCATTTAACTTTAATACACCAAAACCGGAAGAATTGCAGTCCAAGTTAAAAAGTTGGTTGCAAAAACGAGGAAAGAGTTTAGAGTCTTACCATCATTTGCAGTGTTTTGGTATTCATCATTTAGCAGAGAAGTCTATGAAACCATTTCAAGAGCCACCTAAATTTGATCTTTATGACGATGAGAATAAGGAAAATATTGAATTAGACTCTGATAGCGATGATGACTCCTACACGGAGAATATGAATGAACCAAAAGTAGATTTATGCAATGGTCTTAAGAGTGACATTGCTATGGATATGTGGAGAAGAGCAAGCTATGTAAGTGATAGTGCTGACTTAAATGAGACTCAGGATACAACAATGACTTCAGGAGAAGTGATGAATGTGCATCATGTTGATGAAGTACTACTAGGAGTGTTGAATGATCTCAATGAGCTATTGCGTGAGGTAAGAGTTGATACGAAATGTATTGTGTAGGAACCCAAACTGATATAGATATGTAATGATTAAGTTTCAATTGTTTACTAACAATTCAAACTTACAGTACAGCTTGGAGCTAAAACACCTGTTACACCTTAAAACTGAAACAAATTATTCACCCAAACTATTACAGAATATTCTAAGAATCATACATAGTACAGCTTTCATATAATTTTAACATGAGAATCTTTAATTTACAGGGTTTCGACTGGGAGCAATGTGCGAGGTGGCTTCGCGTCGTCCGCGAGCGTTTCTCATCTGCCTGCGAGACTGCTGCATATTGGGAGTGTAGAGCTGCACTGGAGGACCGCAGAGGAGACTTGCCTGCTTCGGTCCAGTGCTGGGAGGAGGCTATTGCTAAGGGTACAGAGGTAAGTTACTCATTGTCATTGAGCAAGTATGTTAAATCATTAAATCAAATTTAAAACATCTGTTAAATAATGTTTATGAGAAAAGCCTATTACTCTACTTCTACTTAAATGACAAACTGCATGGCAATAGTGGGTCATGCACGGAATTGTCATATAATGTTAGACATAGACCCCTATATAAATGTATAATGTAAATAAAAAGGCTTTTAAAAAAACTGCTGGTCCAGCAGTTTTTTTATGGCACCATGATATACCATGGGTGTGAGTAACAAAGTATTCCTTTATGATTCTTACGGTGCTGTTTATATAGATGACAGTTGCCACATTTTATCAGCTCATACCACATATCATAAACAAAATAGACTTTTTATATGTTTGTCCTCAATTACAGTGCTCAGTAGTTGAAGCCAACCTTGACAACCTATTAGACAAGTTCATGCAACTCAAGATCAGCCCCAACAGCAGCAAAAAGAAGCTAGTCGACCCAAAGATGTTGGATGTGAAGAATGTCTTCAAGAGTACTATCATACGGTTTGCTGTGCAGCAGGCCAAATTGTGAGTTTCATGATGAAAAATAATAATATTTTACTGACAAAATACTTCAGTTTTCGCCATGTTTTCACCAACATCTACCTATGTTTAGGGGCCCCTATTATGAAATTCATTTTCAGCAACCTTTTATATTAGTCTATGATGTCTAATAAATATATGTTTCTAAATATATAACTATTATAATAAGGATTATTGAAAATTGATCTCAATTAATTTTATTATATCACGAAAAAAAGTAAGTTAAATTAATATTCCTAATAAAGTTTGAATTTTTATTAGTTAATCTGTAACATACAGTTAAATATGTGGTTTGTTTATGAATACAATATTATAGAAATGAAATTAGAAAATTAATGTTTTTGCATAAATATAGACATTTATGTGGATAATTTAAATATATGTAAATGATATAAATTTAAATTATCCACATAAATATCTCTTTTATAATTGTACAAAATTTTTCATTAATTTTTCATCAATAAATATTTCCTATTCCATACTATTCAGATTTATATCCAATTTGTTAATGTTATGTTTTCTGTATCATAAGTGATGATATAAACAAAATATAGTTTATATAAATATACCTTCTAACACAAGACATTGTATTATCTTTTACAGAAAGAAGTCAAACATAAGCGATACACCCAAATATACTGTGACGCCGGTCCGTCGGAGCGCCCGCCTCAGCACCCACTGGAGTGCCAAACGGACGCCGCTGCAGATCTGTACCACCATACATCAGGCTGGTCAGATGGTACAGCCAATACAATTCGTTCCCAATGAACAGTTAATTGGGACACCCTAGTTGCATTTCAGAATTATAGTTGCTAAACTATATTTTATATCACCCTATATTTTCGCCACCCTATCATACACGTGTATATTTGTAAGGGACTTAAGAGGGTTTCATCCATTGACGGTAAATCTAACGACATTATATAAGATTATTTTATTATAGGTAATTAATATAATTGTGTAGTATTGAAATCTATACATATAAATAAAATTGGAGTGTCTGTTTGTAATATTGAAATAACCGTTTTTTACTACATGCATATGAATATAAATTTGTTGCGGAAAAGATTCTATATTCGACGAACTATAAACGAGTTTTGTTACTTGTGTTTGATGCGAATTTGTCAAGTTACATTTGAAGTTGGGGACTTGTCTGAAACATGTTTAGGATCCCGGAATATTGCGAACGTACATACACCAAAATATTTTTTTTTTATAATTCTCTGAAATGGCAGGACTTATTTTGACGGGACTTTCTGGCAGGTAGCTGATGTAATAAGGAGTAACTTTGGCTACTTTTATCTTAGAAAAATAAAGTTAAATTCCAGGCGGACGAAGTCGCGGGTCTAGCTAGTTATTTATAAAATTTGATTTGTTATTTCACCTCCTATTCAGGGCTAATTTTTCACATCTTTTAAGATTTCGGGTTAATTCCCTTAGTCTATTTTATATGAAGCCTTAACTTATATAGATAATTTTCTCCTGTTGTCTCACATTACTGAGCTTTAGTTCTACTAGTTATTAGTCATATAACGATCCATTCTAGTAATCAGAACATTAAAAGTGGCGATTAGCCTCAGATGCACTTGAAGCATTATTTACTTCATTCTTTTCATTAAACTTCTCGACAGATATTAATTATTATACGCCTGCAGTATCATAAAGTAAAATTAACGCTCTCATTATATATATATATATATGTGTGTGTAAAATGTGTTACAAATATTTACCGCTACTTACAACGTAAATACTGTACATTTTTTTTTCTGTGCCGATAATAGCACGTAAAATATTCTCATTACTATAAGACAATAATTCAAATTATTGTTATTACAGTTAAGTTTCTTGCCAATTCTTCTCAATCGAATCTGTATACTGAACTGGACGGTAGGGAAAAAAATATTAATACAAAAATTTGCTACTCATAAGAGGATAAAATGCCCTATATGAATAAATGTGTTATATAGAAGTATACGTTTATGCCGTAAAATTTGTCGTATTTAAAAAAAAAATTATTTGTCGTGTTAAAATCTATCTTCATTTGTTGAGAAGTTTAGACAAAAATCACATATACAGACACATTTTAGTGATTATAATATTAGTATTTAAACGCTTTGCTAATTAATATAATAACATTTTTGTACTGAATTGTTTATGCTTTATTATTACTTCATTTACTGTACTAGATTTTCACAGACATGTAAAAAAAAGTGTACTATTATAAAATATTGTTTAACAATCATGGTGTAAAAGTTTAATATATTGTTTGCTTTTTATTACTTCAGATATTTTATTGTGTAATGTCAAAAGTAGATATCTAATTTAGTAGTCATAATTTGTTTTGCATATCTGGTATGTGCCTGATGATTTTAGAGCCACAAACATTTATACAATAACATTATATTGCGGATATAGATACAACTAGAATTAATAACTAATTATAGGATATGAAACTGTATTATTTTATTTTAATTATGGAATATGACATTAATAAATGTGCTTTTTCTTATTAAGACGAATTTTCTGGAAATAATCATGTCATTTATGCTCTGGATAGAGTAATTTTTTAATATAAACGGTTCCGGAGTTTGTTGAATTATGACTAATATTTTAATTTAACTAAATTAATTTTATTTTTAATATTAATTTAGTTAAATTATAATTATAAAGTTATTTTATCTACTGTATTGAGTCTGAAGCAAAACCTTTATTCTCATTTAAATGAATTTGTATTTAAATGATGAAGTTGTTTTATTTTTTTTCTGCACTGTTATTTTTTTATGTCAAATTTCACTGTGAGGCAAAGGACACTTGGTTACTAAAACAAACGCAATTATGTTTGATAAGTATTTAACTTGACGTTGTTTGCCTTGTATAATACTACTTTAAGTTTAATACAACGTAATTCTTTTATTTCACTTAAAAAAAATATTGTCTGCTGTTGGTTTATTGTTTTAAGTTTGTTGTGTACCGTTTCTGTAAATAAATGTAATTTATAATTAACTCTGTTTTTATTTAACTAATCAACAAAGTACTTAGCAGCTTAAAACATTTCTTGCTGTTTTATTCATTAAAAGAAAAATGAAATCTCTGATTTTATAATAATTTATTTAAGTTTTTGTTTTGCTATACTTATCAATAAATGTTGGAAGAGTTTGCCTCCTGTATATTTGATGAAATCAAAACATCAAAGTATGGATTACATAATAAATCAAATAATAATATATAATTCACGCAATAATGTATAGGTGTAGTTAATCAAGAAATACAAATTTTACCAAATAACAAATTCGCCTTTTTTTATTTTTAATATGTAGTAACACTCATTTTCACAATGACGTTTTGCATACTGCTACATTCATTTCTCAGCCTAAAATTGATTTCATTCATAGATCATAGTCATTCAATTATATGTCAATTTATTCGCATGTTTCGTCGCTGATTGACAGCGTGAAACCGTAAAAGCGGCATGTATATTATTTTACCATCTATATTTAATTTGCGTTAATATTTACTTTTATTCAATTTTTAATAGTGTTAAAGTTTGATATATTGAATTAATGGAACTGAAAAATATTATAGAAAGAGAATAATGGTTGTTATGTGTGTGTAAAAGTGATTTTTAGGTAACCGGAAAGTGAGACAAAAGAATTATTTTTGGTAAGTTTTGAAACTAACTTTATTCTTATAATATTACGTGTAATATTTTTAGATTGCCCAAAATTTAATGTAGGTTAAATTATATACCAATATATAAATAACTTTATCTGAGGATTGTGAATTATTGTGTAATTATTTTTTATATTATCGTCATAGTCTGTTTTTAATTTAAAAATATTAAAATAATTTTAATTAATTATTTAATTATGAACTGATGTGAATGATCAGTTAATTAACTTTGTATTTGTTTCTAAAACTTGTGTAGGGTCAAAAGTGAAAGCTGTTTTGGACTTCTATTGAAGTTCGATTATTACGACCTACATTATAATAATATTATAAAATCATGAATTGTACCTCTAACCAAAATATACTAATCATCTATATATTTCTAATTATATCTATTGACCTTTGTGTAGTAAATAAGTATTTTTTCTGCTAAATATATAGTGTCTAAAAATTATATTTATAATTAATCATTTATTTTTTCATCACACATATTAACATATAAGTTTAAAATTTTTAAATAATAATTTTTTAAATAACTATTAATATTAATACGTAATTTATATTATGTAGCTATATCAGTATATGATTCTGATTGTCATTTTATTGAATATAAATAAAATAATATAGCAGTGACAGTAATAATTGTGGCAATATTAGTAATAGAAAGCATAAATACATATGTATCATAGAGCGAAAACTTGTAATAATTAGAGGTTTAGTATAGAGATACTAAACCATCTGGCCAGCATGGTAACAGTCATATAAATCATTTACATGCTAACAGATATCTTTATCCAGCTATTGTCAAAAATTAAAATTCATGTGCAAAAAATTTACTAATCATCATCTGCTACTTCCTTATCCCATTTACTTGGGGTTGGTATAAAAATTTACCAATATATAAAATAATATTACTCACAAATGATAGTTACATTTTCAAATAGATACATTTAATATATTTAGACAAATCAAGTTACTATTAGGGGCCATCTAAAAATTTTGTCACGCAGGGGGAGAGGGTTGTCAAAGTGTGAGTGTGTCATTATGTGACAAAAGGTGAGGTAGAATATATAGAAGAAATTGTATTATTAATGAAAATCTTAAATATATATATATATACTTATAAAAAAATACAAAATGTGTGACATCACTCTAGATAAATAATCTCTGAAATGGCTGGACAGTTTTGACGGCTCTTTTTGGCAGGTAGCTCATGTAATAAGGAGTAACTTAGGCTACTTTTATTTTAGAAAAATAAAGTTATAATCCATGCGAACGAAGTTGCAGGTACAGCTAGTATAATATATAATTGATGATGACCACGTACAATCAGGTGAGCCATCAGCTTGGTTGCTGTACCAATTACATAATAAGGGTCCTTAAAATATCTTACTTCATTGACATTATTCCTATTTATATATAATGTAGTGATTTAATTTAGTGTGTTGATTTGATTTAATTTAGTATGTTAAGATAGTGTGGCAATTTAATTTAGTTTATAACTTATTGTTCTTTTTTTTAATTTGAATGTTAAGCCATTCAAATTTAATCATATGAAAAATAAATAAATTATAATGGATATTTAAAAAAATATCACATTTATTATTTTATCTACTATTATATTAGTCTGTAAAAAACAAATATTTTTTTTACAATAAGAAAAGAAGTCTGAAATACTAAAAAACACATTTTATATAACTAAGTATATATTAGGCTTTGTAAAATGTATTTTGTTTGTATTAATATAACAAAATATATTTTAATGCACAAGAAATTAAAGGGTTATTATTTTATATATTTATTTTATCATTGCATAATGTTACTCATAAAGAATATATCTAAAAGAACTGTGTAGCGCAATGACTAATATATTTATCTGAATAGTTTGCTCACTGATAACGTCCCTTTTTAAACCGTCCGCTATAAATATGTCCTCAAATAACTGGTTTTTATATTATTATTGCGTAATATATAATATATTTACCTAAAACTTGAACATATTTTATTTAATATTTTGCGTGAATTTTAGCTTATTTTCTAAAATAAATGATTATTTCTAAAATAAAAGTAGCCTAAGTTACCCCTTATTACATCAGCTACCTGCCAAAAAAAGTCCCGTCAAAATCGGTCCAGCCATTTAAGAGATTAACCGGAACAAACAGACAAAAATTGTATAAAATGATATTTTGGTGTATACACCAATTTATATTAATATGCATGGAGTAAAAAACGGTTATTTCAATATTACAAACAGACACTCCTAATTTATTTGTATGCATAGATAAAGGCAATATTGACCGCAAACTTTTTTTTTTCATATCACGGACTCCTGCGATATAAGTTCGCCTAGTGCAATCTTTATCCTTACTTATATTATAAATGTGAACGTAACACTCTCTGTCTGTCTGTCTCGCTTTAACATCAAAACTACTGAACCGATTTAAATGACATTTGGTACACAGATAGTCTAGATCCTGAGAAAGGCCATAGGCTACTTTTGAATGCGAAAAAAGGGTTGTAGGGAGTTGAAAGGGGAGATGAAAGATTAGAAGAAGTCGCGGGCACTAGCTAGTATACTATAACCGGCTTAAAATTTAAAAAATAAATAAATCAAGCATTTATTTGAAAAAGTAAGTAAAAGTCATATTCACATTAGATTATACTAACATCGACCTAACGCTGCTTCACCGTCAGACTACATGCTTCACAGTAATACATACATACGTACACACTAATAGTGTTTATACGACGGAGGTAAACCTATATACATATATAAACCTCCCAGACCTTTGCTAACAATGTACCATGTCAGGTTGAGCTCCACATGGCCCCCCCTGGAAACCATCGTGATAAATTCCCGATGAATTTGTCACGATGGGGCTAACAGACCTGACCTCATGTTCATGCTATCATCCTTCACTGGTGCCCAGCCACGTAAACATCATTCGATTACCTACAAAAAAAAATCTCGCAGAACTAGATAATGTTGTAGAGCCTGTAGTTGCTGTAGAGTAGATCTCATCTAGCTTAGTCGCCCTAACTGAAATGAGCCCTGCCATTTATTGTGTGGAAAAATCCTCAAAAAACCGTCCCCCTCTGGAGGGGTGACGAGATTCTTACCAACTAAAAACCCCACAGTGTATGCACAAAGTAATTTCTGAAAAAACTTTAGGTGTATAATAATTTGTTTAGGTTTCATATACATCGGTTGAAAGTCTAGTCGCTACATTCGGCCTCGGTAGTCTAGCGGTTTAGCACAGCGTTTTTCTCCCGGTGGTCGTGAGTTCAACTCCTCGCACAGTATAAACATTTGCATTCATGAGTATGATAGTTTATATCGGCCTTCGTGTTTTCTTTATATATTATGTATGTATTTACAAAAATGATATTAAGTATTTATATGAAATGTTTAGTACCCATAACAATGGCTTCTGACTTGATAGCGCTATTTGGATTGTCCAGGAATGTTAATATTACTATTTGTGTAATAAACATATTGTTTAAACAGTACATACAATACAATCATGATTCCGTCTAATGCGCTGGGAAGTGAAAACTGTGTCAAGTGCATCATAAGGAGTTGAGGACGTTCACATTCTTAGTTAATACGTTTTTATTGGATAAACAACATATTGTATTTGTAACTTTTTTTTATTTATTTAGGACTAACAAACAGTAGTAATATGTGATGAGATGAAAGATAAATGTATCACCAACGACGTTAATCACAGTTTACTTAAGACAATAATTATATAATCATGCAAATTTGTTTAGAGTAGTGGTGAATTTTATACAAATAAATAAGTAAAATAATTTTATAAAAACAGGTAATGTCCTCGTCTTGGCATCGGTAATATTTTTATTATTTTCACTCTGCACGAAATCTGGAGCGGAATGAAATTTAATCACAAAATACCACATATGTAACATCTATTTCAGTAGACCATTTTGTAGGATATCTTTAGGTTGAAGGTTAGGTAAGTAGCGATATGACAGTGAAATTATATGATACAGGTTCTATAGGACTAAGGACTATCTACATTATTTATGTTGTTAACCGGGTCTTTACGAATAATTTATCAAAACATATAAATAGAATTGTAGTGTCTGTTTGTAATATTGAAATAGCTGTTTTTTACTACATGCATATGAATATGAATACGGCACATACCTACACCAAACTAACATTTTTTACAATTTTTATCTGTCTGTCTGTTTGTTACGGCTAATCTCTGAAATAACTGGACCGATTGTGACGGGACTTTTTTTGGCAGGTACCAGATGTAATAAGGACTAACTTACGCTATTTTTTGTATTAGAAAAATAAAGTTAAATTTCACGCGGACGAAGTCGCGGGTATAGCTAGTGGTAAATAAAGTTATTTACCTCTCTCGACGCTTCGACTACTACCGTCACTAGATTGTGCAACACAAAACAATACTGGCACCTATTTACGTCGATAAGCTCCCGACCACGGCTAGTGCAACCTAGTCGAACCGTTCAGAGAGGTAAATACCACTATTTACCATAAAATTAACCATGTTTTGAAGTCGAATAAAAAATGTGGAATGGCATCTTCAAATGTCGATTGATCGGAATTATTTCAAGTGGCGTCCCTTGTTGTTGTGATCTTGAGTTACAAATCTAAATTGTTTTCATTGATTTTAATTGGCATCTCTTTAATCTGAGCTGAGAATGTATATCTATAGAACAGATACAAAGGGATCTAGGTTATTAAGGTCAATGTCCAGTTTCCAGTGCAGCTGTTATATTATTGTACATACATATATATGTATAGTAGGTACTTAGACTTTGACACGATAAACGACTACGTGAATTTGTAATCTGTTTATTTTCAAATTGATGTAGCTTTAAATTTGTAGTCAGTTATTGTTTCCTGTTTCTGTTACATGTTTATTCGTATTTTTTGGATTTTATTTTGTATTGTGTGTGTGCTGAGCATGCAAATAAAATATTTATCTATCTCTCTAACG